CCAACTTTGTTTTGCTTATGTACGGTCCCAAAAAAAATGTATTATTGTTTTTAAAATTTAAAAATTTCACATCCCATAACTCGGAGATGTATTAGAACTGCTTTTATCCCTCTATAAATTTAGAGCAATTTATTGATGCCAATTCATCTAATTTAGTATCACTTATTTCTTTACTCTCAATGTGAACCTTAATTCTTGTCATTTGAATGAATAATCTGACTGTAAGATTCCACTCCATTCAGTTGATGCTGAATGATTGATTTTTTTTTTGTCCAATTGTTCTTTTAGGGTCATTTCATTCACCCAAATACCACACAGAGTTTGGATTGATTGATCAGTTGATTTTTTTGCTTTAATTTAAAATTTTCACTTTTGGTTTTCAATGTCAGTTCATTTCTCAAAACCAACAGTAGATACAGCTCTTGTAAAATTCAAGGAAAGTTACTTAGTAATGACTTGAACATTGTTAATTCATGTAAGTCTCTCTCTCTCTCTCTCTCTCTCTATATATATATATATATATATATATACATGTATATACAAACATGTGTTCACTCTTCAAAGTACATACATATAAAACAATAAACTGTATTTCAATATGTTAGATTGTATCATTCATAATGACATCTACCAGAATTCCATCAAACAATTTTTTTGACAGAGTAATAGTGTTGTGCAAAGTCATGCTGAATGATGGCATTTCATTTGAATGTATACACATGTATGTATGTCAATAGCAGGCATATGTAACCATATCATTGACCACACAAGAAGAAATTTCAAATAGTGACCACATTCAAGCAATAAAGCATAAAATACAATGAGACTGTTGCAGGCAATGATGGGTTGCCATCATAGTCTCCAACCTGTTCCTTACCCAAAATTCACCCATTCTCAAGCAATTATATATTCTCCAAATCCAAGAGCCCTACAACTCAGACCCACTAGAACTAGAAGAACTGCAATGAGCTAGTGTGTGGGTGTGCCTTATTCCAACTCTCACAGGCTTTTTCAAATCCTAGCTTTAACAACATTTTACAGGGGCCAATGAGGGTTAATGAAAGGCAAAGCTCAGCCCACATGGCTGAATCCTCATGGGGCCAATGGCACACTACCTCAAACACCTCAGCATAGGTGGGATGATTTTGGGTGAGAGAATTAATAGAGTAGGAGCCCTATCCAACTGCCACCTCAGACCTCAGACAGATGGGCCAAGTTTGCCAATTCTGGATACATCCCATCTGGCATCACCCTACATTTGCCTCCCTCTTTCCTTTTCCCCACCCTTCCAAATTGGCATTTAAGTAAATGAGAATGGACAAGATTTGGGACAAGAAAGAGAAGGTGGGCTATCACAAATTGCCATCATGTGGTACAACTCTCTGAGATTTTGTGAAAGTATGTATTGAAGCACACAAGTAGCACAACTAAACAACCCATCTCATTGGGCTAAAACTCCCTCAAACATAACCCCTAACAACCCCCAACTTGTAAAGTAGTCCTAGCCCAACACTTCATGTGACACCCTGAAGAGTAAGTGGCTGGAGTTTTGACAATTTGCTTTTGTGGTTTGGGATGCAGCCATTGCATCCTTTTCTCTCAGGTTACATAATGAGGATCACAGCATGTGAGCCAGCAACATGGCTCTAGGAAGCCAAACCAGAGTGAAGAATGTTTTCAAGTATGTTTACTTCTTTACTTTTTTTAAGCATTTTTCATTATCATGCATAATCTTACCCTGATGGTGATTAAAAAGGCAAGAGGAAGAGAACAGCAAGAACTCTCTCTCTCTCTCTCTCTCTCTCTCTCTGGTTGTGTATGTAGATGTGGAGCCAGCTGTGTAACAGAGATTAAAACTTTGTTCAGCTAATCCTGTTCCTATTCCCACATGTGATGATTTATAAGTTTGTCTGAGAGGGTGTAATTTAGCAAATTGGGATATCCATCACTCATCACCCAATATAAGCCAAAGGTGGCCATTTCTGGCTGTCATGTAAGGGAAAGAATTGGATCTGTGCATGCTTGGGTTCCATGCTTTTTTTCATTGGTATTTTCTTCATGTGTGATAATGATTGGAATCAAAGAGCAGTTGTTAGCAACCCCCCCAAAACAGATAGTAGATATCAGAAGAAACTAAATACATACATTGATTTTTTAGGTGATTTTTGGCAGAATAGTACACAGCCACATTTTTCCCTTTTTCCCTCCCTTCTAACAATGGTGTTGAGGGAAGGGTTTTTGAGGACAATAGGTTGAAGAACTTATATTCTCAACCACTGAATGAAAAGAAGTCTAGTCAAAAAGGACAAAGCATGGAAACAAGTTCAGTCAATTCAGAACATTGCACCTTTGAAAGAGTTCAATGTATTGAAATCTTATTGTTTTCCAATATTACTTTTTTTTCAAAAAGCGTAATCTGATATCATTACTGCAAAGTTATTCTGCAAGACTACGATTCCCTATTTTATTTTGTTTTATGTTTCACGGTTCCATCCATTTGACAACTGGGAACACAATGGCTTAAATTTGCTTGCCGAGGGGGCAATGAGGAGGAGGACGATTCTGAGCCAGAACTGGGCTTCCAAAAAGCAGAGCTGTGGAATTATGGAGCCCTGTTCTGGACCATCCAGCCCTTGCTAATGAACCAACCTCCACCATAGCCACACCGGAAATCTCCACCATTCATTCGACCCACCCGGCCCGGCCAGAATACAGGCCACATGTTCTGGGGGAGCCTTTTCATACACAATCAAGCCAGCTGAACGCAAATAGACAGAGACAGAGAGAGCGAAGGGGGGGGCTGACGTTACCGGCGGTGCTTTTGTGGATGGGGCGTCAGTTTGGGTCATAAGTTGCCGTCTCGATGTGGAAGGAAGGAGGGGGAATCCGCCTCGCACACGTGGTGGCCAAGGACTCCCTTCCAATCGCCGCCAGAGGTTCTGAAAATCGTCTCTCATTGGCCGAACCCTTTGCCTTTATCCAGATTCCGTCCTTCCTGGTATATGCCACGTGGATTGAATCCATTGGACGTCGTTGAGGGGGGTCCTGATTAGGAGTTTTAATTAAATGGGGTAATGCTAATGACAACGTTATGCTTTGCAGGGGTTCTGGTTAGGAGGGTTGACCTATTGGACTTCACAAGTAACTGAGAACATGAAATGACTTGAAGTAGCATTAGTTTAGTTTAGTTTATTTATTTATTTATTTTATTGTGTGTGCAAGTTGTACATATAATGTTCTTCTTCATTAATGTAAAATTGGCCATTGGTTTGAGAATTTTATATGTGTTGGTTTTTTTCTAATTACAAGAAGAATAGTACTACTATAACAATTCATTAGGACAAGGTATTGTAAGGGGTACACTAGCATTATTCCTACTATATACTTTAATTTATCCTTGTTGCCCCAACCATTACAGAAATATAGTTGACATATGTATAGCTTCAATATTGGTGTTGTGTAATATATATATATATATATATATATATTTATTTTATTTTATTTTATTTTATTTTAAAATTATAATCGTTTTTTATATTAATAGTACTAGTTGATTACAACACCAATTAAAATTTTAATTGGTTTACTATGTACAAATACAAGATATTGCTAATGCCATCATAATTTTTGATATTCCTGCCATAATCCCCATCCACCACATGTCACTCACATCCTTTTTCAATGTTAAATGAAAAAATTAATATTGAAAATAAAATTCTAAAAATAATGAAATACATGTTTATTAAAATTAAGAGATTAAAAAAACATGTCAAGTGAGTAGTGGGTTGTGGTGGCAATAGCAAAAAATTTGATGACATTAATAATACCCTCTATGTATGTATGTATGTATATATATATATATATATATAAACACATCACATTCAAAGTTCTTCTACTATGATTTCAAAAACATCAGATGTTTATCTTTAAATAACTACATGAACATTTTTATTTATTTAAGAATGTCAATTTGACACATTTGGAATTTAGCATTACTGTATTTGTGTTGAAACCCAACTAAACTTCATTAGAAGTTAACAATGTAATGTTATAATATAAATGGGTATTTTGGTTGAAATGTAAGTAAGATTTGTTGAACACACAAAAAATAAAATAAAAAACAAAAAATAAATAAAAATACCATTTTGACTGAAGTAATAGTCTCAAAGTTTGCTGATTTTTCTGCAATGGATGCTTCTTCCATGATTACTGTCCTTTGTTTTTTGTTTGTTTGTTTGTTTGTTTGTTTGTTTGTTTTTTTTTTTTTTACTTAAAATTTAATGTGTTTAAACTTTAAAATGTTGTATGTGGCTAAGGAATGTCTCAGAAACAAAAGAAGTATGTAAATGTGGACCTCTGCACTAGTAAACAACTTTAAAATATTTTTTGTGCCAAAAGTGTCAAATGAGAGTGTGTATGCATTTCATTGATCATGTTTGCACATTGTATCTATGAGATATACATTACTGTCATGCACAATATTTGATGTACTTCCATTTTTATCAAAAGTTAATATTTCCTTTCCTTACCCATAATGAAATGAAATGAGGCATTAAGTAAATGGGACTATAAAAGGACACACACATATATAAATAAATAAATAAATAAATAAATAAATATATATATATAGAATTTTTGCACCCATTTCTCAAGATCTCAAGAAAAGAAAAGAGATGTTGGGAAACAACGAATAAAATAGTAGTGCAAGGGAAAAAGGAAATTCACAAGACAAGACAAGAAGCTTGAGGAGTCATTTTCTATTCTTAAACATCACACCACACTCATCCAGAAAAATCTCCAAAAATTGACACTATGATCTCAACACCCATACTCCAGGCAGTGGGCCATTTTAATACAGATTTTTTCCGACAATCACTGTACCGTCTTGCTCTGTGGGCTTTTCACGCCTCCAACCCCCCCCCCCCCCTTAACCCATCCAGCCCTGCCCTGCCCACCCCCTGCCCTCTCTCCCTCCCCCCCTCCATCCAGTACTAAGCAGAGGCGACACCGCGGGGGGAGTCAATAGAATTGGCCGCGAACATCGTCGGTTCTCGAACTAGTCCTGCTGCTGTTGCGGTTGCCTGCCATCCTTGTTCCTCCCATCCGCCGCAGATCAAAGTCGCCTTCTTTGTTATCTCTCTTGGCAGTCCCGCAATCCCTTTCTTTCAGGCTTTGTCTATAGCTCACACTGTTTGCCTATACCTTTTTTTCTGGTTTTTTCTCTTCTTATTCTCTAGCGTCTTCATTCGCAACGCAGGCCACTCATCGGAGGATTAATATCGTACGGATATAGGTGCTACTGTTGCTGGGTTGTGGATTCTCGTAGCGTGGTGGGAGGTTTGGTTCGCACGATTGCTGCGTTTGGGTTGAAACTTTGACAGCGTGAGGAGTGAGGTGAGGGGAGTGAGAATTTGGGTGGCAAGCTGAGGTGATTTCGAGAAGTGGAATTGGAGGTATGATCAGGAAAGCAGAGAAGGAGCTTCACTGCCAGCGTGGGTAGCAGCTGGAGTTAAGGAACTTCGGAGGCTGTGTTGAAGAGAGTGCGAGGGGGAGGCGAGTGCGTGACAGGGCGTGGGGAGCGCGTGACCTGGGAGCTCTAACACGAGTATGGCATTCATGTCTCCAGCCCCTGACCAAGCGACGGTATTCGGCGGGCTGGTGAAGAAGAGCATGAGCATCCCCTCGTCGTTCAATACCGCGGCCATGTCGCCAACGGACTCCATGAACTCTCTGTATAGCTTGGAGAAGCAATTGGTGGGCCAGCCAAGGAGCAACGCCGCGCTCAGTGGCGTGCCGGGAGTGAGTGGGTTCTCCAGGTCGGCCACCAACTACTGGGGCCACGCAACGTCCACGGACATGCAGCAAATCCTCGGGGATTCGGCGTCTGTGTCCCCGCAGGAGGCGCTGGGATCTGGGATGGTGAGTAGCGACTGGCAACAGTTGCTGGATGCAAAATCGTCGGCATACAAGTATCCGCCGGGGGTGTCGGCAGCTGCAACTCCAGCGCGCGGGGGGATCATGGAGAATGCTAGGATTAGAGAAATGTTGACAGGTAGGGTGGGGGGAAGTCCAGTCCCTCACAAGTCGTGGAGCCCCTTGGACACGGTTGCGGCGGGGATTGCAGTGGACCAGTCGAAGGGCGGCCTGGCACTACATGGAGTGGATCTCGCGACTTCGCATTGCCTGGCCCAGTTCACATCGGATCCTGCCTTCGCTGAGCGTGCGGCGAAATTTTCTAGTTTTGGTAATGGGAAATACCCACAGATCGCGTTGTCGTTGCCTGTGAACGACGCGCATTGTAAGCCGCGGTCGCGATCCAGCGAGAGTGGTTGTAAGTCTTCTAGAACTACGTGCAACCCAAATTCGGCGAAGAAGTCGACTGCGACGGTCGCGGCTGGGATGGAAGAGAACACTGCCGCCGCTCCAGCTGCTGCCTCAGTTCTGGCAGCTCCTGCAGCGGCGGATAGATCATGTGACATGGATGTGGACGGTGTTGGTAACAACGACAAGAGCCCGACTCGCACTGCGAGTGTGCCTGAGTTGGAAGCCATTGAGGGAGCAAGCTTGGTCACCATGGATAGAACCCATGAGCTGGCCGAAGTAGCAGCAGGGCTGGAGCCTAACAATTCCAGTTCTGTAACAGAACAACAGCAAGCGAGCGCTGCGTCGCCTGCGAGATCACCTACAGGAAGCGATGACAGCGATCGGCGTAAACGGAAGAGTTCTTCCGCTGATAAGCTCGACGTAGATTCTAAGGTTTGCAAACACATCTCCTTTGAATTCCTCGCTACTTCACCTGTTGGCCATTTATCAGCTTCTATCCTTTCACTCCCTCCTTTCTGTTTCCGAAACCAGATACCTGAGTTCAGAAATTATCTCTTTCGCCTGCCCTAAAAGCTGCGAACTTTGGTCACAGGAGTTGGTGTATAGCGATTAGTACTCAATTTTCACATATTTTTCAGTGCGCAACTTCTTCGCGATGGGTTATGTTGCACAATGTAATGAATACCTGAGATGATGTCTCGTAATGCAGGCTGCAGATGTTGCGGACTCCCAACCAAAGCGGTGCAAAGGTGACAACGACGATCTAGTGAAGGCAAAGGCGGAACGTAGTAGCAGTGAAAACTCTGGCGACTCCGGAAGCCCCAGAGCTCACAAGGAGAACAATTCAAGCAAGGACCATGCAAAGCAGGACTACATACACGTGCGAGCTCGACGGGGGCAAGCCACCGACAGCCACAGCCTTGCCGAGAGGGTAAGATTTCCAATCTCAAATCCCAAATCCCCTAAACCACGACCGCAAAGGAACCGATCCCTCCAACCCTTCTAGTTGAGGCAATCTTTGACGAGAACCATCATGTTGTATGATCTTCAGGTTCGCAGAGAGAAGATCAGCGAGAGGATGAAGTACCTGCAGGACCTGGTTCCCGGCTGCAGTAAAGTAACCGGCAAGGCGGTGATGCTTGACGAGATCATCAACTACGTGCAGTCGCTCCAGCGCCAAGTCGAGAACCTGTCAATGAAGTTAGCTTCAGTCAACCCTGGGCCATCCTCTACTCGCATAGACCATAACTTCGAGACCACCATGAACAAAGACATGCTGCAGTCTCAGATGTCTGGCTCTCTCGGTGGATCGGAATCGACCACCACGTTTGGCATGATGCAGCAGCATCAGCATCAACCACAGCCTCAAGGACACATGATGAATGGCCACTGTGGCTTGGATTTTCGAGCGATGGGGACTTCGATGGATGGGTACCTCCGGCGCTCTAATAGCGCCCCCATCAGAGTCCAGTCTGGAATCACTAGTTTAGACTCATTCGGGGACGATGTCTCTCAGGTGACTTTCATTTCCTGTAATTATCGTCAATGCTTAGTCACCTCTTGGTATATTTGAACGCTTGAATATGCGATCGCCTTCAAGTTTCTGACACAACTCTGATTGTTTGTGTTACTTTTATTTCCAGTCAATTGGATGGGATGGGGAGCTTCAAAGCATCGTGAACCAGATGGGTTTTAGCTTCCAAGGTCGCTATGGATCTTCTCCTCTCGATAGTCTTCAATGTAAGTTTCGGAGCCAGCTCAGCCATCACTACGTTCCCAGCTTTCATATGTGTGCAGTGGCGCTGATGGGGATCTGTGATTGAATTGTGTGCAGGTCAACTACCAGTCGGTCATATGAAGGTGGAGATGTGATTCAAACTCCAAGCGTACATAATCTGATTGATGCTCTTCACAGACTATGCGACATAAATCGCATTGTTCCTGAGGGGGAGTTTATCAGTACTGGGCTTATATTCCGTGATTCAATCCCATTGACTGATTGGGCATTGTTACTGCCACATTAGTGGAACTGTCCAAAAGAGCAGAAACACAGCAACGAGTTGCTGTAGGTGATAGTTCCAAATCAAGTCATTCTGCAGGACAGCTGTACAAATTTTCAAGTTTGTGATATGCATGGGTTGGCACCACCGAGTCATAATAGATTGATTTAACCTGAACTGCACGACCACCAAGGACGGTAGTGAAGGGAATTGATTTCAATCGACATCCTCCATGGCATGTTCTTCCCCCTTGAGGATTTTTTCTTTTTAGTTTTTATTTTTCATTTTTTCTTTTTAATCTCTGCCCCTTGGATTCGAACCGTTTTTGGAGACTACCCTTAACAACCTGTTGGTGGCCTTGCGTTCCACACCCAGAGTATTTGTTTACTGAAGTCCTCCTCTGGGGAGAGACACGGACGTAGCCAGGTGATGCCTGAGAGCTGGTTGAGTGTAATATTACTTGATAAACGGACTTAGTTCTTAATCCGTCGAGCTTCCTCAAGTCTTAGTGAGTAATGAGTTAGCTTTGCTCCTAGTTAGTTCCAGCCTTAGTGTACAGCCCTCTCTCATGTTCCCTCTACGGTGGTGTGTTTGTTGGTCGCCCCTTTCCTTTCTGCACCCATTTCCACTATTAAATGCCAAGACTGTACAGCTCTTTGTGGTTATAAAGAGTGCATTGTATCTCGTTTGTCTTGTCTCAGTTGGACCTGGTTCTTGAGTTTGGCGAGTGATGTGTAGAAATTGCTCTCTGTCGAGGATTGTATGCTCTATGTATTATGCTCGTGTATTTGTAGACCAAGGGCTTTGAGAACCCTTCCAGCAGTATTTGAGAACGTATTGCCTTTCTTACCATAATGTTATAACGCTTGACTTATCCTGTTGAATGACCAGCATACAGTTTGACTTTTAGTCGTTGAATTTTGCTTACACTTTGCTGGAGGAAAAGGGTTTCTAGGTTGATCATGAAGGGTTGTACTTAGTTTGTTACTCATGATTATTTTGTGTATCACGATGGGAATGAAATATGAGACCTAAAAGTAGGAGCTAAAGTGCGCAAATGATGAGATTTAAGAACAAATTTAGTACATTGTGTTGCCTAAAAGCAGTGGGAAACTTGAAATATGCACGGGGAGCACGTACATAAGCATTTGAGATGAGTTCCCCCCAGGGAGTAAATGTATGGCGACGATCATGTTCGACAGGATAGACGGTTAAGTCAAGCTCATGCGATATTATGCTAAAAGTATTCGACAGAGATCAGCCTCCCCATGGAAACGATGAAATGTCACGGTAATTTTTTTGTGACGGTTAGAACTGAAAGATCTTAAGGAAATCTGCAGCAGTGGCTAAAGCGCTAGCAGTGAGGGCAGTGCGGACCATCTTATCTTGGCTCATCCTGCCATCTGAAACGGAAAGAATCACTCCTGTCAATGCGCCTCCAACAGCTGCATTCTTCTGCCGGGAACGAGAACGGATCATCGGTGAAGTTTATGGATTTTGTTAAGTTTCCTCCATGTGGTGCATAATAAGATATCAAAACTGAAAGTCTCTGGTTTTTGTAAATAGCTCACTATGTGCAAGGACATGAAGGAAATATATGTATGTATATATATATATATATATATATCAGAAAATGTAAACTTCGAGTTGTTCTAATTAGCAATTTTTTATACAGGCAGCGATACTTACCCAATCTTGCTTGCCTCGGGCCTTCTCTATACCGTACGCAAACCCAGCATACATCCCTGCTACCATGCCTACAAAGTGCAATTCAATCGTTTCCCAACTGCATATGTAAAAATTGATAGGTCGTTCTTTTCACTCGGTTCCGTGGTCAGTTTTTAAGGCGTTTTGAAACTCATAGCTAACCATCTAGAACAGAGTTTGGTTATTTCCTTGCAACTATAGAAGGTTCTCAACACTTTAGCTAGCATTTCTACGTCAGAAAAGTGACATACTTGGATGTTCATAAACCTGCGGAAACTTCAAAACGTGGATTTGGAATCGGTCAAGAGATGATCGACATCGGTTGCTTGTTCTAGAACATAAAAGAGAGTTTCTGCCTTACCCCATTGTAGACCCTCTTTTCCAGCCTTCACGACCTGTGCCAAACATCGTGTCAGAAACGACATATTACTCTTCAGTATCAGAAGTTAGCATTCTGAGTCAGAACAAAGCACATATATTTGTGTTTAGCAGGTTTCATTTTGTTTTTCCTAGTCCTTGTGGTTCCCTGGTGCTTTCCTCTCCAAATTCATTCAAGATTATTAGTTAGCAACTTTAAGTGTTCACGATTGATATATTAATTCATTAAGAAAATTTACTTGGTGTTAAGCATGCTGCAGATGCGTGAAGAGAGGTATGAAACAAACTTACAATTTTTTCTATGTCACGCCTTCCTGTCGATGTGACTGCACCATCCCCAAGTTGACAACATCACACATCAAAGGACCTATGGGTAATATCAGCAAAATGCATGGTAATTCTCTAAATCCTTCTGCTTTTGTAACATTGAAAGCGCAAGTCAGACTTGCACGCAGCTCCCGGATTAGTCAATCACACAGTTGCATGAACCAAGCAAAAGAATGAGCGCAATTTTTCATTCAAATCGCTCAGAAGATGACTAAAGAATATCGCTTCAATAACTGACGACAACTCATGTGTTGGAGGACCAGTTCAGGAAAATTCTTGCTGTGAAGGCGGGCCTCGTGATGCCTCCCAACTTCTGTTGTTAAGGAAGACATGGCTCCACGAGAATGGAACGGGACATACTTTTAAATGTCATGGAGTTATTTTTGGAAGCATGAACTAAAAGCCTCAAATACCTTTCCTCATTAAACTGTACGTCTCTTGAGTCGCCGCATGAGCAGCCCCAACCTGCACATCTTGCCATTCCCAATTTCAACGTCTTAACAAGAAATGCCGCTGTATCGTTCGCATCTGCGAAGTCATGGGTTCTGAAGAGGACGAGGCCCACATATCAACTTAACTTAATCTTAAAAGTTATTTTAAGCTACATATAGATGTACCCCGCTGATCTTGAGAACACCATCGAGGGTACTATTTAACGCTAGGTTCCCTGTGTCCATGAAGACTTCCATGTAGTTTGGCAATGCCTTGACTGACGATTTCTTGGTCATCATTTCGTCACCAAATCTGCTTTCCGAATGTTGGGTCTTATAATCAAACAGAAACAAGATCTGCCAAACGTATTTGTGTCACACACACTGTACGATTGACCCCAGTTGCTACATAAGGTCATGACGCATATATACATGCGCACACGCATGCAAATGTCATGGTGTTCTGAAAACAAACCTTGAGCAAGGATAATTCCACCCTGTGACTTAATACTTTGCCTCATGTCTTGTGCCCTCGCTATTTCTTAAACGACATTTTAAGAGTGTGATATTCTGCGAAAAATTAGGATTGTTGATGTCAATCTCGCATTGAAGGCACATTTGTCAATGTTGCACTTGCAAGGTGCATCTAGATGGAGAAAGTTATGCGCAGCAGAAACTCCAGAATTCATAGTTAGAAGGGATAACACATGACCTACGGCTTTATCACTTAACAATCACTTAGCAATTTTACCCAGAGTCCTTGCCCTAAAGCTAGTCAATATCCTCAGCGAGCAACTGCGGTCGTCTGAAGATTCAGGGCAGACACGAGAAACCAAGAGCGTGTGACACAATTTGAAAGTTAATGGGTGACTTATTAGTCTTGTTGTTGTGTGTTGATTCTTAATACCGTAACAACTGCAACATACCTTTAATATTTCCGCCGAACTCGACAATACTTGAGGCCGCGGATTGAAACCCAAGTATCCAATCACTGCACGGGAATATCTGTTATGAAGCCCATGCTCCATAACACTTGGTTCGTTGAGCTTTTCCCCTGTGAAATTACATCAAAATGCAAGGTTACCAACTCATGTAAAGATTGATTGGCGTCTAGTAGAATGAACATTACCAGAAATCAGAATGTGAACAACTATCAAGAGTTCTAATCGTGGTATCATACCACGCTGTTTGCATTGCAAGATTGTTTGCCAAATTCATTTGAATAGTACTACAAGAGTTATCCTCGAAACTTCATCTCATCTAAACATTCTGAATAGCATAAAACCTCCATGACGTGTAGAAGAACAAGCACATGCACGCAGCTATTTATGTTGTGACAACACCTGAAATAGAAAACATAGCAAATCGAATCAAAAGCCACGCAGGTATATTATGTCTTTCTCATCAAGGTTTGCGAAGTAGCATATCCTGGCAAACTTGAGAAACTGTTAGATGCTTTTCATGCAATGTGGGTCTCTACCGCTTCATATGTTCCTACACTCCAACCTTGCTCTTTTAACGCTGTGAACGAAAGCGATAATTTGGAGCGGATGATCACCAATTAACATGTAAATTGAAGCGGTCTTCTTCGAGGGCACTTCGAACAAACTGATGGTGCGCAGGATGAATCACTCGTAAGTTAATTCTCACAATCGATACTTAATTCAACAGTGGCAATAGATAATGCAACGATAGGTCAGTCCGAGCCGAACCACCGATTTCTATGAACGCGCACGGAGCGAGAATTTTTGAGAACGAAGGGGTAGTGAAACTGCCGCGTGATTTAAGAACCAGGGAAAGAAACGGTTCCCGACTGCTCCGCATACTTCCCCACGGAAAACTGGTCAAGGAAAATACCTCTATACTCGAACGCAGATGCAAGTGGTCATCGCAAGGCCCCTGTAGGTTTATCTTTTAAGTTTTCTTTGACGAAAGTGTCTGTTCAGCATAAAATACAGTCAGTCGTAGGCGTAGGTGATACTTGGAAGAGGTGGGCCTGAAGACGGTAAAGCTCTCTTTCTCATTCATCCAGAGTGTGTGAGGTTTCCAGCGTCTTCACAGCATTACCTCTTTTTCGTATGCAGAGTGCAGTGGAGGAGAACGATGGTTGTTCCATGAGGAAACACCGAGTGGTTTCCCAGATGACAAGTTAGGTATGTAGTCGGATTCTTTCGAGCTTCGTGTGCAAGCTTCAATTTCCATTTGGGTTGCATTAGTATGGTGGGTATTTGAGGTGGTGAGAACATGAAGGGGACAGCCTGCCCTTCCGTGCTTGCATAGTTTGATAATTTTCTGTGATATTTCTGTAGCGCGACTTTGCAGTTAGAGGGTAGTTTGATTATTGTGCTGCAAGTGCGCTTCCCTTAACGACCTGTATATTTGTAATTTCTCCTCGCATCTTTTCTGTTGATAATTTTGTATCGTAACATCAGGCTACGTTAGTCATGGCTACAACGACATTGTCCGTGTGGGTTAGCCCTTGTGTACATAGACCCTCCTCATCGCCTTTCTGCGTCTCCTCCGCACGCGCTTTCACGTTCCGAGCCTCGCCGAATTATGCTTCTGCAAGCTCTTCATTGAATCAAGGTGCACTATCCAGGAATCTGAAACTGCAGTCCAGGCAGAAACATGAGGCAAGAGAGTGCAGTGCTACCTCTCCAGTGGCGACCATGGCACCCCCAGCGTGGCCGCCTGTGGAGCCAGATACCTCCGGGGAGAAAGGAGACCCCAGTGCGGGAATGAAAGCGACGTTGAAGCAGGATGGAGGAGAGGAAAAATTAGAGGAGCAGAAGGAGAATAGCGAAGAATCTTTTGTGTGGAGGAATCACTGGTATCCTGTTTCAACGATCGAGGATTTGGACCCCTCTGTGCCCACCCCGTTCCAGCTTTTGGGTCGAGAGCTCGTCGTGTGGAAAGATAATCAAGGAGAATGGCGCGTCTTTGTGGACAAGTGCCCTCATCGCCTCGCGCCACTCTCTGTAAGCTTTCGAAACCGTGGCAACTTGTGTCACTCATATTCTCATCTCTGTTTCAGCTGCCAACAGTTCTGACACAAGAACTGTGACCTAATACTGGCCAACCAAGAATTTGCCACCGTTAGTCTCTGAGTATTCTCCCCCAGCCCTGAGTCAGCGACCTCGGCTATGTAGCATGCTTTATTTACATGCTTTGTGTGTATTCAGTACAGATAAATTATCCGTCTTTATGGTGCAGAATGGGTCTGAAAATTTGAATCATCAAATGGGAGCATTTGTTGGATTTTATTCGGATAAACTACTGCTCATTGTAAACAATCGGTGGTGGAGTCAGAATTGGCTGGAAATTCTGAACAGTTGCAGAGAAGCCGTGTATCTGTGCTGAACAAATTCTTTTGTTCATGAGCAGGAGGGGAGGTTGGATGAATCTGGAATGCTGCAATGCTCTTACCATGGGTGGTCCTTCAACGGCGATGGCAGCTGTGGTGCCATTCCACAGGCAGCCAAGGAGGGACCTGAGGCTAAAGCGAGATTCTCGCCTCGTGCTTGCGCTGCCTCCTATCCTACCCGTGTGTCACAGGGGCTATTGTTCGTCTGGCCCGATGAAAAAGGTTGGGAGAAAGCATCTGCAGCCACCCCTCCAATGTATTACCCATCACCCTCATGATTTATTGGTTCTTTGCCAAACTTTCAGATTTAACCTTCGAGTCTTTTAATAATCTGCGCGAAGTCCTTTCGCATTAGGTATGGAATTAGAAGCACATAATGTCAGGAAGTTAAATGTAATTGTTTCACCACTAATGTCAGTCACATGATAAAACTAAAATAATGGAAAGTTACAAGCACTAACTAATTGGCAATCGTTTGGCAGGTTGCCCCCAGAGTTCAGTGACCCAAGGTTCTCAACTGTGACGATACAACGAGACTTGTTCTATGGGTACGACACTTTAATGGAGAACGTCTCAGATCCGTCGCACATCGACTTCGCTCATCACAAAGTGACTGGCAGAAGGGAACGAGCTAAGCCCTTGCCCTTCAAAGTGCACAAAAGCGGGCCATGGGGTTTTACTGGTGCCAACAATGACAGTCCAACGATCTCTTGTGGCTTTTATCCACCATGCTACTATTACAACAAGTACGTCGTATCTCATGTTTGAACATTTAACATAAATTTGGGTTAAAATATTCAGTTCTTTCTCTTGCTATCGAAAATCTGGTGATACTGTTTCTTTTTGTGCTACTTTTCTAGTCGGTACTTCAGAAATATTCTAATATATCAGAGAAACGTAGTAGGAAAATGCATTTTAGTGAAACGAGGAACGTTCTAAATCATTCAGAGGAATTTCTTGAGGTCTTAGCACTGTTGGTTCGTGAACTGAAACGGCTAATTGAGGACTGAAGTTGACATTGCAGGATCGAACTTCTTGTCAAGCTTCCTATCTTAGGGGACCAGAAATGGGAGGTTTTGATATGTTCCTTTAACGTTCCTATGTCACCTGGAAAGACAAGGTCAATTGTATGCAGCGCTCGGAATTTCTTTCAATTTTCGATGCCCGGCGATAAATGGTGGCAGGTAATATTTACGTTCTCTTATCGCCCAGTCTTAACTCCCACATGCTAATGTGCTGCATTCAAACCGAGCTTCGATATAATGGTCGGAGCTTGATTGTTCTACTAGGTGGGTACTGGGATCTGGGTCTGATGAATGATTTCTGCATACGCAGCTCACTCCAAGATGGTACGAGCATTGGACATCAAACTTGGTGTATGACGGAGATATGATTGTATTACAAGGACAAGAAAAAGGCTTCTTATCTTACGACGGCGATGTGAACGCTGAATATAGTAAGCTGACCTTCACACCCACACAGGCAGATCGATTTGTCCTTGCATTTCGTAACTGGCTGAAAAGACATGGCAAAGGAGGGCCAGAGTGGTTCCCAGAGACTAAAACCGGGCTACCTCCGCCTTCTACTGTTCTCTCGAAGCGCGAGGTGTGCTTTCCTTACCTTCCCATCCTTAAATCCTCTCATTCTGTTTCGTCTTGGCTATCCTTGATCTCGTTGTGAAGGGAAAGATGTCCTCGATTGAAGGTGAGAAAAAATGTAGTCTGCTGATCTTTAATGTGGAACATTGATTTTCTGTCAATTGCAGATGCTTGACCGGTTCGACCAGCACACACTTATATGCTCATCCTGTAAAAAAGCGCAACAGGATTTCCAGTTGTGGCAGAAGATGCTGTGGGGAAGTACTGTTGTGTTAGCTGCTGGAGCTGGGGTTCCCCCGGATCTCACTGTACGAGTGATCCTGGCTGGGGGAGCCATTATCAGTGCTGCACTGGCTTATACTCTAAAAGAAGCTGAGAAGAATTTTATTTTTAAGGATTATGTACATTCAGAAATTGACTGATGTGGAGCTACCTCTAGATGCCACTGCCAACACTGTTTGAGCAGTGAGAGCTCGTACATATACTCGTGAGTATATACTCGTGTGTAAAGTATGAAGATATAGCTGTCTTTATGGATCCTGTAATTTTGGTTTGACGTGATGTAGCAGGCTGAGAGCTCTTTCGTTTGCGGTACTTGATATACCAAAACTAGGACAAATTGCATAGTGAGTTTCGATTCTGAAATGTATTGAAAGTACTATACAAGTGAAGAAAGAAAATTTGATTGATTCGGTAGCAAGTGGAAGGATTGTTTTTAAAAGTATTTTATCAGTCATGTTTTCTTAGATATCACTTGGAATAGGTATCTTGTGAAGTAAATTGATTATTTTGAGACAATTTTGTGCTATTAATACCCAATATTTTGGATATTTTGGATAAATATTTATTGAATTAATTTTAGCAAAGGTATACTTTGAAACCAATAATTGTCATATATATATAGTTTCACATTTTTATAATTTTTTAGAAATAACCAAAATGTTTTATAATTTTATGGCCATTATAATAGAGTTTTGGACCTTGTAATAATTATATTGAATCATAGTCAAGGATTCGATTTTATAATCTCATCTTATGGCATAGAATCCTTTTTGTATTTTGGCATTTTATTATGTTTTAATGTGACAATTTATTTTTCACTAATAATTAAAGTTTTTGTATTATTTCTTGATTTTAAAATACTTACTTATATTTAAAGTAAAAAATTGTATCCTTAACAATTTGATGATCCTTGCTAGAATAATATCAAAGTGTAAATTTACTAATATTTTTCTTCACAATATAACAACATTTCAAACCATTATTAATTATTTTTTACAAAATCAACAGTATGTTAATTGTTTATAATACTTATTTATTTACAACATCATTTTAACCAATGAAAATAAATTTTAAGAATGTTATAATAAAAATATAATAGAAACATTATAAAAATAATGAGTTTGATGATTTTATAAATAGTCAAAACAACTTAAGTCTATATGTCATGTTTTTATTTTCATAAGTATCTATTATGTTAAAATTATAAAACAAAATGTAAAAAGATGCTTATTAAATTGAACTTCTATGTTAGATTTTTAAAAATACTTAAATTTTGATTTATTTCAATCTAACTAAAAGACGTTAACTAAAAAATAATCAAACTTATCAAATTTAGTAATTTATCAACCAAATTAGAAAATGGTAACAAAATTTAAAATATCAAAATAAAAATGATCAAAATTTTAGCATAATATATTTTTCTAATGAAGATGGTTATTATCATTTTAAAAATAATATATTAAAAATTAACATGCAAAATACTTATATAGACTTATAGAATGTAGATATTTAGAAGATATTTAAAAATAAATTTTTGTAGTAACAACAAAACATTAATGTATTTATTTTGTAATAACAATAAGATATGAGATTATTTAAAGTACTATATATGTAATGATTAAACAAACTATTCAAAAAAAGTCAAATAATAAAAACCATGACTAGAATATAATAGATTATGCCACAAAATCCTATTAATATGGACTTACATAGTTAGGAAAAAGATATTACTATATGTTTATGCCTATACAACGTACAAGTTGATAAACAACTATGCATGAGTGATTAAGTTATATTATTAAAAAGCAAAGTGCATTATAAGTTAGGAAAGTTTAGCATTGTTCTTAGATAATTAGATTATTAAAATATTAGAAATAATGTTTTTATTTGCAATAAACCATAAAAGATACAACTTGACACATTAATATGAATGAACAATTTTATAAAAAATATTTAAAAAGATAGTAGCAAGGACCAAATGAACTATAATATTTAAAGGTAGATAAATTTATTTGGTACCATAAATAAGATTACAAGACATACTATATAATAATACTAGGAATATATGTATATATATATATATATATATATATATAGTAAAAAAATACTAAAATAATCAAAAAATCAAAAATCAAAAATATAAAAAAATTACAAAGAAAATCTTCCTAGTAAGACTTATTGTTCAAACTACCAAAAAAATCTCACTAATTACTTAAACTAAACTTCTTTATGTTTTCTACAAGTTTCTCAAAAATCTTAGAATAGTTTTGTAAACAATAAAGATGATTTGAAGATTGTATAAATTCCTTAATAAATTAAAAATAATATTAATATAGTTTTAGTTTATATTATTTTAATAAAAACCACACAAAATTTAATTTTAATAAATATATAAAATGCATTAGGAACATAAAAATACAATAATTCTTAAATTTAGAAAGAAGAGATAATCTTAGTAAAACTGTTGAAAAGAGTGTCTTCTATTAGATTATATATATATATATATATATATATATATATATATATAGATAAATATATACATATATAATACAAATTTTTAATAAAAAACAATATTTTTTGAATAATCATTGTCTTTGAAATCTTTGCATTTTTTTTACTAAAATTTTTCTGTGGATAAAGTCATATATATTTTATTTTATTTTATTTTTTATATTCCATCATTGCAAATATAACATTACAATAACTTTATAGAATGGTCCACATGACCCTAAACTACTGAATAAAGGGAAGGTTGGACTTAGAGCACAACCATGACTCTCAACAATTTGGCAATTTGAATCACATTTGTAAATTCCCAAGCGTGCTTGACAGAATCTCACTATGGGTTCATCCTGGCAGTAACAAAAAAAAATTTTAAAAAAATTAAAAAAAAAAAACTTTATGGAAGACTATTAAGATAAATAATTAAATTTGTTTTGGAATGTGTAATTTATTTTTTAAAAAAAGGGTTCTATCACTTATTTCGAAATTAATTTTCTAATGCAGCACACATGTTATTTTGCACACACATTATATAGTACTTCAAATTTTGTAATTTCTTTCATTTTCAACCGTTTGCTCCCCTCTTGCACATTCATGTGACATTATATGATTATGAAAATGATTTCTCTAGGTACAATTTAAAGGGTGATAATTTAGGTTGCAGCTCTCTCCAAAGAGCAATGGCAGGATCCTTTACTTCACATGAAGTTGTCTACATTTCAGAACTTTTCTTAGCTTAGTGTCTCCAGACCTCATTTTGGTTCTATTACTGCCTTGTTTGATGTTATTTTTTGTGAAAGATTCAAGTTATTATCAGAGATAATCCAGACGATTGTTGAACTGGATACGAGTTAACTACAATAGTTTCATTATTAAAATGGTATCAGCTTCATCACTAAACTCAAATGACCAGAGTCTTCTCACAATTGAATAGCATAATACGTAGAATTAAAATAATGAATAAGTTGAGAAGCTCAATACAATTCAACAAAATGACTTGATATTCAAACTGACCAACTGTGTCTGCAACTAGTTCACCAATTGGAATTCAGTACAATCAGCTAGATTGAGTTCGCCTTTACACTGCACTCTAAAGATCTACATGGTGGCTCCCTAAGTAGACTGGGCGCCCATATGTATGTCTATGGTACATCTGCGAAAAACTACAGTACTTCTGTTCAGTATATTACAAAAAATTGTAACACAAACTCGAAAACACCTTCGTGTCGCTCCGACCAAAACGTCAAAAATAAAATAAAATAAACAATACTAATATGACACGAGACTGAATACGCAGTCACCGGCCAAGAATACTTCCTCTGTTTGACTGGATAAAAAAAGGACTAACAACACTTGACGTCACAAAATTAATAGACAAGTTCCAAAATTATGTCCGTTTCATCTATTCTAAGATGCTGAGTAGTCCTGACTAACAACAAGGACATGAGTGATCATGCCTTGAACTAGAGTGATGCTTCATCTGGCCTCTTAACCAGATGTCATACAATACCCTTTTCCGACCCCATTTCCACCAAATTGGCCCTCCAATGTGTCGCCTTTTGGAGCTCTTCCTCTCACCAGCTTTGGACCAACTGTCCAAAAGAGCACCAAACTTCAAAAAAGTCGCATCATGTAAGTTTGACCAGTAGCGTCGTTGAATCATAAACAACTCCAACATGGCTGCTGCCCCCACAGGAGTTGGCTGGAGATCATCTGGCAATGGACCAGGGTTTGTACCTTGTAGAACCTGTATAACGGACACCAGGCATGTCAGCAATTTGTCATATTTCAACAGCTTAGTCAACATTGAATTTACCGGTAATGTCCCGATCCGAGTTACCCAAAGCATAACACATAATTAACCACGAAGCTTCTGTACTTAGAGATACGAAAAACTTAATTGTAAGCACTAGATTTCATTTGAAAAAAAGCAAACCGTGCAAGTAGAAAGGAGGTCTGTCTGACATTGAATACAACTACATGCTCGTCGATGAGATGATCAATAACATATTCAAATAAAACCACATTCCCACATGTGAAAAATCAAGCCGATAATTGAGCATAAATCGCTGAGGCAACTAGAGCCATCAATAAACCTGTTCACATATACAACAGTTCACACACGTCGATATGCTTATTACCTTCATAACAGCAGCAGCAGAGGCAGAAATAGACCGCAAATTATAACCTCCTTCCAAAACAACAAGGATCCGACCACCTGACAGAGAGCTTAAGAGAAAGGTCATTTGTGCATAGCCCTCAGGAGTTACATCACAACCTCCAAGAGGATCCCCCCTTGCAGCATCAAAACCAGCTGAGATGATTGTCATATCAGGTTCGAATTGACGAGCAATTGGCATGACCACATGTTGAAATGCTGACAGGTAATCTCCGTCCCCAATTCCACCACAACTCCATGGTATGTTAACACAAAACCCTTCACCAGGGCCACTCCCCACTTGATGTGCCCAACCCGTTCCAGGATAGAACGCACCAGCTTCGTGCCTGTTGTGCATGTTGACCTAGTGAGTCGACAAATTAAAGAATGCAACAGAAATGGACATCCTGGTAACAAAACTGTGAAACTGTGAAACAGTGAAACAGTGAAGTTCGGGAAAAACAGCCTCACCGATGAAGAGAAATATACAGCACTGTTGGATCTTGTTCAAAAATCTCTTGTGTCCCATTCCCATGATGTACATCCCAATCAACAATTAAAACCTTCTTCGCCCCAGCAGCCTGTGCAGCTCGAGCAGCGACGCATGCATTGTTATGCAAGCAAAAGCCCATGACTTGTTCTTGTTCAGCATGATGCCCAGGTGGCCTAACTGCTGCGAAACCATTGTGGGCCTTTCCAGTCATGATAGCTGATGCTAAATCTGTGCAAATTCCGGCTGCTAATCGTGCCGCTAAAGCAGAGTGCTCATTGGCATACGTGTCAGGGGTGAAGTAACTTAAGTCCTGTCCTTCTGTGGCTTGCACTGCACCTATATGATTGGCAGTATGAACAAGTTCCAACTCTGCTTGAGTGGCTTCTCTGGCGGGTATCGTAAAGCAAGTTCCGGAAAGCAAGCCAGAAGCTTGCAGGCCTCCCATGATAGCTCGTAACCTATCTGGACGCTCAGGATGTGATTTTCCAGTTTCTTCATGTAACAACATTCTATCATCGTAACCAATAGCGGTCTTTTTTTCTTTACCACACATGAAAGTCCCTGCATCGTTGAAGAAGAGAATTAATGATATCAACTGTCAAAGATATACAGATTTGTGATTCTGATGAAAGGATGTCAACTACGAAGGTAAATCATGGAATTGAGATGAACTTTGCTGAGAACACAGAGATCACCACCAGAACAAAAGAATCATTCATTGATATGATATCCCTGGATGCCAGAGTTCAAAGTAACATGAAGAAATCAGGAAGGAAGACAGCAATCTTCAATTTACCAGAAAATGTCAAGTTTTTTGATAGCATTTGTGAAGGACATATCTCTTTCTTTGCCACAGGTTTCGCACTCCCATCAACGCCTGCCATACCCAGCGAGGAGGAGCACCCAAGGTATATCATGAGCCTCCATACCTACCCAAAATTCGAGCTGCTCATGTGGATAACATGTTCTACTTTCAGTGGTGACGCTGAATAGCCACTGGCGAGCAGAAGAGACTTAAGGTCATATGGAGATGCTGCTCCTGAGCTATGGTATAAAACCACCCCCAGACAAGAACTTGAGGCTTTAAAAAATTATGTCGCATTACCCACGTCTGAATTTTAGAGAATTCACTCAGAAAGACTGATTTATTTCGTGTACGTAACACTGCTACAGGTCTCACGAAAATGCGTGGCAGGGAAATACATCCGGAGCAACCAAACATCTGAAGACATGTATGCCATACCTTTTGGCTCGGATGAAACAGACATAAACCCTTGCTCCAAAATACTTGAATTGCGATGTTCATTACACTTCCAGCAGTAGACCTCATCCTCAGGATTCGGCATGATGCAGTTTGTACAAATCCAACGCACATGAGGTTGCCATTCTTCATCTTCTGATTCCATCTCATCATCATCTTCCGCACCATCAATCCCATGCAATGCAAGAAATGCTGCTAGCGGGTGCACATCCTTCTCCACCTCTTTCCCCTTTTCCTGGAACACATCTTTGACAGCATTTTCACCTGAAACGTGATCCAGCTCGCCCTCTGCAGGGCTGTTCGCACCCATCTCTGAGCCTGACAAATCCAAAAAAATAACGCAGGTGAATATTCAAGTACTCTACATCAACTACTTGTAGCATATCAGAAACGTTGAAGAATTGAAGGTGACACAACGTGTTTCAACTCAACAAATCTGAGGGAATATAAAATCCAAAGAACAAATGAAAAAATAAACACGCAGACACTTTGACAAGATTATCATGTCTTGCGCTATGTGCACCAGTCTCAAACAAAGAATAAGGAACACACAGATACTGCTATGTAACAATATCCATCCTCCATCTGAGTCACTAAAACAAAAACATTAATGTAAAGCTTAAATTTTTTTTTATAAAAAATCTATGAGATTGTGTATGTTGAAAAGTGATGTACTCCACATGAACACTACAGTTTCAACCACATTGGCTGTAAGGAAGCAACTGAAAATTCAAATGTAGTCCCACTCTCCAAAGGTTAACAGTTGATATGTATCTTTAGCAGGAAACTTCATTCGTTGATCATGAACAACACAACATAAAACAAGGGAAAAAGCCAAAAAGCCAGAAAGAAAAAAGAAAAACACAAAAACACAAAAACACAACACAGAAACACAAAAACACGAAGACGAACAAAAACAAAAACAAAAACAAAAACAAAACTGAAATGAAATGAAAAAAATTAGATTAACTGAAAAATAGATTGAAATTCCAAACACTTGAATAATCAGTATGCTATGGTCAGATGATTGCCTAGAAGCCTGAGTCTCCATCTACGAAAAATCAAGAAAATCACCTATGTCGGATACTCAATCTAGGACTTTTCCCGAACACGCATGGCACAGATGAGCATGGACTTCACGCGAAAATTGATATGCTACACATAAATTTCAGAAACCCTAACCCTAAAATTATGACACGAAATTGGAAACCCACCAACAGAACATCCAATCATGTACGACGCGAAAAGAAAATGAACTAAGGCGAGTTGAGATAAACCACTGTCAAATTCAAAACCAGAAAAATTGGACACACCCAACAAACCCGTTCGGACGTGTGAGCCAGGCGAATCAGCAGGGACGACAAAACAGCGAAATCCGAAGACAACCCACCTCAAGATGTGAGCTGCGAACAGAAATTCCTCTTTCGATTCGCTGCAACGTGACGATAGTTGGAGCAATCGCGGATGATTAGTGCGCCTTTTTTTCACTCACCTGGCGAGAATTTCAAAACGCCCAACTGGGGTTTCTCTCGAACGGCCACAGGCCCCCCCTCCCTCCCGACCCACCCACGTCACCGCGCGCGGTGTTACACACACCTTCCCTCGCCCAGCCCATCACCGAGACTTACTTACACACGAGGCAGCCAATGGCTAATGCTACTTGTAGTAACTAATGGTATTTACTACTTACTACGAGAGGTGGCATGATTGATTGTATTAAGACTTATTTATCACAATAATAATAATTATTATTATAAGAAGTAGAAAATATGTTAAATTTAGATACAGAATTACAGCTTTGGTCAATGTATTTTTTTTAGTATGATTTGATTTGACCTATATATATATATATATATATATATATATATTGCTAATAGTTGTATTAATAGACAAAAATTTCAATATAATATACATTTTCCTTTTACATTATTTTGAAGTTTAAAATTTAAAACCCAATAAAATAATAATAATAATCATAATAATAATAATCTTTGTTCTGATATTCTCCTTTAGAAGTTTATGTTTTTTAAGTAGTGGAGTTTTTAAGACTTTTTTTATTTTGTTTTTATTACTCTCTTTTGTATAACTCTCTATTGTATGTATAATTTTAAAAATTAATTTATACTTCATTTTCATAGAATTTTTATAAAACTAAAACATATAAGAGATCTTTGATGTATGAATGTTGGTTTTTTTTCCAATAAGAGAGCTGTAAGCATTAGTCAAATAATAATCTATGCTTCTATATTGGTGTTTGAGTAGTATGAATGGCTTAAAAATTTACACAATATTTATAAGTAGTTAAATAGTAATATTAAATATTGTATTATGTTATACTCATTATTACTTTATAATGCATTCTTGCTTTGATTCACATAAAAGAATATTATAATTTGGAATTTTAAAAATAATCATTTTAAGAATTTAATAATCATATTAATAAAAAAAGTACAATAATAATAAGAATGATATATGTATACATTATAAACCACAGATTATTATTATTATTATTATTATTATTATTACTATTTTAGAATATATAGAGAAAAACTGTATAAGTAGAATATGTTTAATATTAGTTTTTAATATTATTACCCCTTAAAAATAATTAACACTGATATGTTTTTAGTGACTGCAATTATTATATTTTATTGAGAAATTTACATACAATAATGAATCTTCAACAAACATCTGGTTACAAAGTTTTATTATTGTTCCATGGAAAGTCATGGATCTGGTGATACCACTGATTATAATTTGAAAAGAGCTTTATAGAAATTTTGAAATGTAACATATTCTTATCAATATTAATTTATTGGATTTTATGGATTGTATATGAACAGTGGTATAGGCTACTTAATTGATCTTTGAAGGCTAGAAAATAGGAGAGCTTATGTTAAGTGAATTAATATGCAAAATTAGAGAATTGTTAGAGCAAAATGTTATATTACTTCTACAAAAGTTTAAGAACAAATCTCCATGCATCAAAATAGGTTAACTATAATAACTTTATTTTACAAGTTCATGTAACTTTTGAAATGGTATTAAATAAACTCGCATCTTTTATGTTTTAGTTTTGTTAAAAAATTAAAGAATATTTTTTTATTAACATTTAAAATATTTTTTTCCCTAAAAATATAGAACTTAAAGGCATGCAATGAAAGTCATTTTTAATTGGAGTTTAGATAACCGTGTAATATGCTAGGTATTCATATTACAAAAAAATATTATAGGAGTTTTTTTTTACTGTTGTATTCTTATTGTCAAATGTACAATCTAATATTTTCAATTGTAATAGCATTGAAGGGATCCAATGTATTCATATTGTTTAGTGCAATTTAATCCAATATATGTTTTTCCACAACTTCATCTATAATAAATGGAAGTTAAATTCATTACTAAATTCTAATAGTTTTAGATTTTTTTAAGTAACTTTAACTATTACGCAACCACTACTTTCTTACCAAATGATTGACATTTAAAACTAACTAACATTAAAATTTCAAATGTCAAATATAGTAAGCATAAACCAGAATTCTTTTTTGGTAATTGGAAAAAATTCTTTCGAAGCAAAAAAAGACACTCACTTGAATAGCATTCATCACTTGAAAATCCCACAAGAAAGGTTGGATTGGAATATGCACATGATGATTGTATAAAGAAAGCTTTTCTACTGAACCAAAAAAATAACAAAAACAATTAAAAAATTCTTTCCAAATAGAAGAGAAACAATAATTTGAAAAATTTATTGAATAACATGACTAAATTAAAACAGATAAAAGATTTAATATGGATCTCCTTCAATCACCCTCTCATCATTCACACTTTCATGTTCCTAATGTTTGACCTTGGCTATTGCAAATAGGATGCACATCAGGCCTATACCTTCTAATCAATCCCTGTGTTTTTGCTCATCTTTTCACACCGTAATGAAGTAAAGATAGTTTATCATATCACATCCCATACTTATTAGTAACACAGATTAATCGAAACATCTGCAACTTGCACCAACTCAGGATGTTGCCTAGTCGAGTGAGCATAAGAGAGTTTTCATAATTGTCCACCATGAGCTGAGACAAATTCACAGGCTCATAAAACCTTACTTATAAAATTCCTTGATATAAGAAGAATCACCACTTCAACTTAACCAGAACCAGGCTGAAACTGAAATACATAACCATAAAGAAGCTCAAACACAAGGTTGTCACTGCAACAAACACAAAAACATCCATCGACATAACTTATAACAGAGGAGAAAACGATTTGACGACTTTGATACGATCGCAAAAGAATCTATCAATGATATTACATCAACTATCTATGGGTGTTGAGCATTCAATGGTTCCATTACCCTTGAAGGAAGAATAATAGATTCCGTGAGAGCCTTCGACGCTACCTAATTGCAGTCGTTGAACTAATCTAGCAGCTACATTCCCTCAGATTTAAGCCTTTGACATTAACAGTGCACTCGTTTACAGGCCAAGTCTTCGTCAATTGCCCACAGCCCTGCACCCTTCAACATATTAACTACACCCATGGCTGGCAACCCGCTGAGCAAAACAAGCCTCTTGTCAGACGCTAGGATGTTTGATTTGGACATCTGAATGTCCTTCAGACTTCCGGACAAGCTTGACGGCAAGGCCAGATAATGGCAGTTCTTATTCGACGTGACAAAGTCCTGGAAATCAAGCCACAAACTCATGTGTTTTCTACTACTGCTGCTCCTTAACTCCCTAGCTAAAACGGACATGCTCCGCACCCACTTACTCCACAGATGTACGAGGCCCTGGGAGGCCCTGATATACAAGAGGGCGGGGTGGAAGCTATCTAGTGGCTGTGACCCCATAATATCCCTTTCCCTGATGTCACCCAAATTATCAAAAGGATTTTCTAACCACACGGTGTCTGCTCTCGTTAACCACACACTATACTGTAATCTGAGCGTGGCGTACACAGCTTGCACGGCAACCATGTCTCTTCTAAATGGAGTAACCATGGTTTCCGTCTCAGAGAATACCTGAGCTGAAACGGTGGCGTATCCTCGTCGTGCAAGGTCTCTACTAAACTCGTTATCATCTCCTAGGATGATGAACTTCCGCAAGCCTAACCTTTCCATGTGACACAGCCAATTGCGAACCAACACGGCGTTGACTCCTATGGTATTCACTAGCAAAACTGACATGTTCATCTCCATGGCTGCGAGCATAGGGCTGAGTTCGGCAAGACTAGTCGCGACAGACCATGATTGCATACCTCGAAAGCAGAAATCAAATTGAGGTAATGTTTTTGAAGGGGACATCACCCACAGCATTGTGTCGTTGCCCACTTCCACTTTGTCGATCAGCTGAGAATCAGGCCCGACGGACTTATTGTAATTCAAGCCTGGCTCGCGATGTGAGACGCTCAATGCTAGGTTGTCCATAAAGTTGGTGTAGAGATTGAAGTAGCCTCGTGAATGCGCAAATTTTATGAACCACGGGGTCCATATCCTCTCCCCAAGCTTCTTGTACCACGAATTAGTAATCATTCCTTCCAGAACCGGCTTCATTCCTCTACTCTTGTGATTATCATACCATAGTCGAAACTCTTTCCACTGTTTTGGAAATAGAAGCTGGCCCCAAGTCCCGACCAGAGGATACCTGAAGAGATTCTTGGTGCTATTAAACTTCAGAGGAAAGCCCCTTTTACCAGGTACAAACCTTGGACGTTGGAGTGAGATGCCATAGACGGAGGAATCATATTGCTCTGGGTTGTAGTAATAAGTCGCAATAACAGTACGCAAAAATCGGTAGTAGAGACTCGAAACTTCCACGTCATCTTCTACTATGAAAGCGAATTCGTCCAAATCAGTTGGCCACCATGACTCTATCCACTGCGTCTGCAACCCTACGTTCTGGCTCCTGTAATGGATCTCCTTCGTTCCATGTCTCCACCAAAAATTATCTACAAATTCCAGGATCTTATGGAACTCTTCTAGCTGTACGACTCCGGACTTCACTGAATTAGAGTTTCGTGGTGCAGCAGGAGCATCATGGGTAGAGTTTTGTGCAACAGGAGTAGCTTCATCTCCAGATCTTTCAGTTTCCTCATGTGTCTTCATCGTCATATCATCTTTCGTTCTGTCAGCAAGCCTTCTTTGACCTAAACCTGAAATATTGACCAACCTTGCAGTTGCAGTATCTCCCTGCAGATCTACTTTTGCATCGTGGACATGGGCTCTCTTGAAGAACCTCCAAAGAAAACTAGTTAACTCTGAAGACTCCAAAAATGGTGTCTCCCCCACAGACACATTCTTGCAAGTTTCATTTCCTTTAGCATCGTCATATCGGATATGGTCAATGAAAATCTGAATGTTGACCCTGTCACCTCCATAATCTGCCTTCGCTAAGGAACGCAAACATCGAGATAAGGACTCCAACCTGTTGAAGGCAAGAACCTTGAGAACCACACGAAATTCCTTCGTGACGACGTTTGTCTCGATAGACTCTTGATATGGATTGTCTGTATCATTGCTAGGCTGATAAATTATACTATTCTCTGCAATTCTTGCTTCAAGCCATAGTCTTCTGTAGATGTCTGAGCTGTTGCAATTATTAGTGCATAATACAGACTGTCGCAGTTGGAGATCATCGGCTCTCTTCGCGGCGATATCAATCACAGCAACATTTGGTTCAATTTCATCTTCATTTCTACCAACTTGTTTAGGTACTGCTGCAGCAATGCCAGAATAGGCTGACGAAACCGCCACAAATTCTCGACTGGGATGGGTATAGGGAGCTAGTTGGTACCCAGTGAAAACGCACAGAAGAATACCAAGACCCAAGCAGAACAACCTACGGGAGCACATCTGCTTCCTTTGCCGTGGAGTTCCAGGGAATGTGAGCAGGCCAGACATGACGACGGAAATGACCTAGTTGCAGAAGCTCTTCCTCTGTGCAACAGGGTTTCTATGCGCAGGACCTAATGACAGAATCGGATCTACTGTTGTTTAGAGCATTGATGGCTTTGAGATTGCATATAGCGATGGCATACTCATATCAAGAAGAGTCGTTAAATGAGATCGCAAGATTGAAGAACTTGTCTTCAGTAATTGAAGACAATGTAAAGGATTGTGTAAGCTTCCCACATAGCTAAGAGGAGAATTGGAAACAAACGAGATAAGCATAACATTTTAGCAAACTACTCTTCTAGACATTTCAAACCCTCACTTGGCTCTCAATGACGGTGGTAGTAATGATCCAGACATTTCTTTCCGCAATCTATCAAGTTTCAGCCGGAATAGGGCAAAATTTCAAGAAATCACTAACCTCATGCGGTTGAAACCTTCAGAAGTACAACCCATGGGCATGGCGTAAAATAATGAATGAGAGCTCGATGTTTACCATTAGAAATCAAGCAGAACTGCACCTCTACATTCAAGCGAAGACACATCTGTCGGCTACCAAAAACATTGGATCATATCTTCGATCAGTAATCGCTCCACCGAAATTCCACCAACGGAAGCTTCAAGCTTGGATCTTGGACAGCACCTACCCAACAACAGGAAAGAAATTGTTGAGGGATCGGTAAATACAATTCTTTTTGCACTCACAGGGATGACTGTGAAGAGAGTGAGACAAGAGCATGACACACTTGCTGAGTTAGAGAGCAAGGTTATTTGACTACAGGCTATTGAGATCTCATTATATTTTTGAAGTGCCCCTACCCTAATGAAGTAGCTCTGCTGTATGACAAGAGAATGTTTTTGCTCATCCTTGTTAACAAGTTCATCCAGCTGCAGAAGAAGCTCGAAGCACTGTGAATCTCCAAAACCCTGTGGATTTACAAAACCGTCTCTCTTCTCCAATTCAAGGTGAGAGAGAGAATTCTATGGGCATGAAGAGAAAAACCAATCTCATTCCTCCGCATCCACTTTTGTGAACATAGCTTCAATTCTAAGCTTGGGCATGAATAAATGAACGGAGGATTCGAAAACTTTGGACAACTACTTCTGAACTCGAATCATATCACGTCCCAAACTAAGAAATTCCAAAAGCACAGGAAGCAGTATCAACAGTACCAAATTGAGAAAGAATTATCTTCCTTGTATTCTTTCTCCTTCCTCACAGCACTCATGATTTGTGCCGGAAACAAAGGAGGAGCGATGAAAGCCCAGCGGTGTGATCCACGACGAATCACTGATGCGCTTTCATCCATAGTCCCCTACCCCACCAAGCAAAATTCTGCAGTTGCCCATCCAGTTGTGATTAATTCCCATGCTGTAGAGCTGAGAATTGTGGGTCCCGTCTAGTGTTCTTTGGAAATAATGAAGAATGCCGCGTTCTTCCTCAACTGATCACTCAGGAAGTCTGATGAATCATTGGAAAACGAAATTTTCTGGGAACTGACGGGAATGAGTTTTTGTATTCAAGGCATTCGGGAAAATCTGAGGGAGTTTGAAGATTACCATGGTGGTCCCACGAGAAGGCTGGGTGTTTTTGGATTGCATTATTGCATTCCTTCTGTGGATTTCTTGAAAGACATTTCGTATTTTCGTGTTGGTGGTGTAATTGTAGATTTGTCAGTTGAAATTCTGAGGGTTTAAGAGGTGTAGGTATTAGGGTAACCTGCGGAGGGGTGTTTCAACATGGGGGTTGTCTCTTGTGATTTGGTGATGGTGGTTTGCAGATCCGAGGTAGAACTTGGTGCTGAAGTGGGAGGCAGGGGATTAAGATTTTGGTGTTTCAGGTGTTTGAGTGTTTGAAAGACAGTAGCTCGAGTTTTGGGTGGGTCTAGTATGTCTTCTCATATCTTTACAGAAGGTGGTGGATAATAGGGTTAGTCAACCAATGAAGGCGAAGGCTGACGGGAATTCAAATTCGCAGTTTGCAGCAGCGTCACTACCGAAGGTGCTGGCTGCCCCAATATCATTGCCTAAGGGTGATCAGCTGATTGAGAATATAACCTTTTTGTTGAAGGTTGGGGTAAGGTCCGTTATTGAGCTATTTAACTTACTCCCATGTGGTGGAAATAGTGGTGGGCTCATCTAAAGAAAGAATTGCAAGGAATTTTCGCAGCGAATGGTGAGACGTTACACTACACCTTTTGTATTCTCGAAGTAACTTCCTCCTTCCTCTTCTCTGGGTATTTGTTGCTTTTCAGAAGTGTATATTAGAATGTGAGGCATCTTACCCTGGAAATTTCGGGTGTCGGTGACAAAATCCTCCACTCATTGAAGTACCGCCAAACTATTATAAAATTGTGAGCAATTGTGACTTGGCTAAGTTGACCCCGGTACGCGTCAATCATTTGACCTCAAAGTCAACCAATGATCTTCACTAATATTATCAATAACGACCCAGTAAACTCATTCTGGAATGAGTACCACTGTGAACACTGTGTAGAACGTTCAAAGTTATGACACAGGTGCGAAGGTGTTCTCACTTTATAAGTTGCAACGCATCCATGAAAGAATAACACAAATAAGGATAAACTCTAACCAAGTTGACGAATGCAGAAAAACCATCCGCTTTCATTTAGAATCGTTATGGTTTAGAGTTGAGAAAGCCGTGGTTGTTCAGATTTGAAGCACAAGTGCCTCCTCCATCCCAAGTAGATTGATTTCTCACTGCTCAACAGACCCACTCCAACAAAAAAAAATTACCTTTGTCGTTACGTACATTAATATTTCCATCCAAACAGAACGCACCAGACACTTACCTCAAGAATTTCTTGAATCAACAAGACGGAAATGCCTAAGGCAGCTCTGAAAATATCAAGGACAGTGAATCAACCAGTGGATAATGGAGATTTCCTGGAGCCTAAGCGACAAGGAGTTTCGTCAGGCGCCAACAAGGCTGGATCATACTTCACTGCCTCAAGATGCATTCCACTACCTGCTTTATGAGGTAGTGAACGTTTCAAAGGACCTTCGGTGTCCTCCGTGAGCATCCCCACGACCTCTTGCATTGTGGGTCTATTCTCCGGAGAATTTTGAGCACAAAGTGCCGCAACCTGATTCAACACAAGACGCACAAAACCTGTGAGGAGACGACAACCACATAATTCCAATCGCTTGAAACAATACACCACCACAAAGGAAACATTTCAAAGAAATCTCTTCACCTGTATAAGTCTTACTAGCTCCTCCTCATCATAGTTGTCTTTCAGTTTGTGATCAACCAGGTTGCGACACCTTCCTTGCAAAACTAAAGGTCCAGCCCATTCTACAATGGTTCTTCTAGCAGTATCAACTCTTTCAATTGGCTTCTTCCCACTAATGAGCTCCAGAATCACGATTCCATAACTATAAACGTCACAGCTTTCTGAGACTTTTCCCCACATTGCATACTCAGGTGCCAGGTACCCCAAGGTCCCCTTCACTCCGGTTGTGATGTGTGTTGCTCCATTTGGTATCAGTTTTGCAAATCCGAAGTCAGCTACTTGGGCTTCGAAATTCTCGTCCAAGAGGATGTTGCTAGCTTTGACATCGCGGTGGATAATGTGAGGGGTTGCATGATGGTGCAAGTATCTGGATGCAGGAAATATATCAGAAATTCAAGAAGGAAGGAATACTTCGACGTTAAGGAACATTAGTTGTTAGCATTTGAGTCTTGAAACACATGGAAACGGTACGTACGCTAGGCCTTCAGCAGATCCAATTGCGATTTTCATTCTGTTGTGCCAGTTCAGGGTGGAGTCGGTAGCAAACTGGCCATGTAAATGAGACAGCAGGCTCAGCTTGGACATGTAGTCGTATACAATTAGGCGTTCATGGCCTTCAGAGCAGTAGCCTCGCAAGCTGAGCAGATTCTTGTGTCTGACGCGGCCTAAAATCTCGACCTCCACAGCAAATTCCATCTCTGCCTTCGTGCTCCATACTTTCAGCCTTTTCACGGCAATCTGTGATCCAGGGACCCATTTCAGCACCATGTATTCAGCCCACAGATACAGAGCGCACCCAAGACGCAGGATCGTACATCCAAATTCTACTCGGTCTCATATAACTGTGTATTTCAATAGTAAAATTACATAGGTAAAAGTGCAAACCAAGAACTACTAACGCACAAACAACTCTTGAGGATTATCGTGTACAGGTGAACTGTATCGTACTTGGTCACCATTAGCAAGCTGGCCCCAGTACACGCTACCAAATCCTCCTTCCCCTAGCTTATTATCATAGTTAAAGTTGTTCGTGGCTGAGTGCAACTCTTGCAACGAAAATATGCGCCATGTTGCTGATTTCTTAGCGCCAAACGAAGACCTAGACAGCCATATCAACAAACCCTGTAAGACAAAAAATACATTTTTTATCCTCACATCGTTCTAAGCCGAAAGATTCAGACTCACTTGAACCTGTGAAGAGTAAGATATGAAATGTGAGTTGAATTGTGGCAATTATTATTTGGCTACTTTTGCTCCCACTGATCAGCCTCTCGCTTTGGGTTTCATAGCTTTCCAACTGATTCACTCGCAGCTAGACGGCGAAATTTTGAAAATACTGAAGCCCACAACCTCACAAAAAGTGCATCAATTTTCTGTACTTAACCTCGTGAACCTCTGTGAATGCAGCACTCCATTTACTGTCTGATCTTTCTTACCCACGCCCACAACCTCCTAGTTCATACTTAAGCTTTGTCTAAAAGCTTCCAATCTCCTGCATGCAGAAAATACTGCGATTCAGCCAAAGCTCCAAACAGGTGTCACTTGCATAGAAGCTTCAGGAAATTAAGGTTATCCCCTAAGAAAATCTCCACAGCATGGATACTAACTGTGACCGACTTAGATTTCAAAGTGTTGAAAATGTCCCAGGGTCAAAACCATGCTTACTTCTGTGTCTCGCCACTCCCGAAACACCAGTACTTCTTCAAGCAGGTCCTCATATTTTTTCCTCCTACTTGCTCTCCAACACAGAAATGAGTTGTTATCTCCCCACCATCATCATCATCAGCGACTTGAACGCTCGTCCATTGGTCTTCCAACTTCCATGGCTACCACGTTGCAGGCAAAGGGTTAGCAACAAGAACCGGCCCCTGCCAAACATGCCGACAAATCTCCAACTGGATCGACTTTGTGCCTGCATACTGCCAAAAAGGAAGCGCGGATTCGGAACTAGGAGCTCCCGCAAGTCTCTACGAGAACAGGTGTAACTAGTGGAAGGTGGGCGTTGGAAAGAATTCTTGAGACTTTGAACCCAAGCCCCAAGTTCAGCGAATCAGGAGTTCTGGAGAGAAACAGGAGTTCTGGAGAGAAACAGGAGTTCTGGAGAGAAACAACTAAGTGACGCAGATTGAAAGAAACCAGCTTCACTTGGTAAAGACAAAGACGGATGGTCCTTTTCCCCCTTTTGTGTGTGAGAGAGAGTGTGTGTGCGCGGAAGCGGACAGAGCTACAGGCCCAGACTGGAGCCCACATGCGGTCATCACACCCCCTTGGGTGGGCCTTCTCCATAGCCCAGGCAGCAACTACCAGGGACAAGCACCAGCACCAGGCAGAGAAAGAGTGACAAAGATACAACAGCTTCAGACAATGCTCTCTATGGGTGTGGGCGAGGGGGCTTGTTTCTAAAGCCACAACATCCTCCCACTCCTTGCTGGCTACTGCTACGGCAGCAGTGTGTGCATGTGTGTATGTATTTGTGAGTGAGAGAGTGTTTTTCTTTTCTTTTCCTTTATTTTTTAGTATATATACGGGGAATGTTAAATAGACTAGTGTTTTTATTAAATTGATTATGAAAAATATGGTAATCATGTTGTTGGTTTTCATTGGTTGTAGATCCAATAGTGGAAAAATGAATGTAGAGGTCATTTTTTCCTCTTCGTGATGGTAAGGATGGGTGAGTCAATTTAATACAAGCTTGGGTCTATTTAACATTCCATTATATATGTGTGTATATATATATATATATATATATTTTTTTTTTTCTTCTCTCGTTTTTAAGTTAAAAAACACTCAAATTCTTGTTTTATTTATTTATTATTTTGATGATATTCAAAACAGAAATTTATTCAATAATTTCACATCCATCTTCATAATCCTCTTGTAAGAATTAAGTGGATGCATTTATTTAGAATGATTTTGATAGGATACCATCAATACTAGTGAATAAAAGTTTTTTCAACTTCATTCTCAATTTCTTTTTTAATTTTTTGTATTATCTCTTTTCTTTTCTTTTCTTTTTTGACTTTTCTGCTTTTTTGATTTCATTTTGATTTCCTTTGAAGGCTAAAAGTCTATTTAACATGGTCAGCTTTTTTTAAGGTACTGATTTTATAAAGAAACTATGCTGTACTTCCACATTTGGAAAAGTTCACTCAAACAACTCTTGTGACTTCTGTTCCAAAGAAATTTTATTTTATTCAAAGTTCAATAAGGAAAAAAAAATGGATATATGATGCCTAAAAGAAGAGAATAACTGTGTTAGATTTGAGGATTTCTATATTAAAAAAATAAATCAAAAGAGTAAAAAAGCATATGATCATCATAAGAATCATATAATCAAAGTTCTATAATTTTCTCAATTTATTAGCCACTATTATTTGGGCTTTTGGAATTATTGGCAAACATGAGATAAGACCCTATGGGATTAGACATGGCACACACAATGATTGGAAAAAAAGCAATGGCCTAGTTTACTACTCAATTGGAATCACATGGCCTTCAGCCAAACAGTATCTAATGCATGGTGCTACTACTCGGAACCCACTAAGTATTGTGCTAATTTTTCACTATCTCCTTGTACTTTTCTTCATCCTTAAATATCCCTCTATCTTATTAGGTCTTTGTTAATTTTAGAAGCCTTATAATAATATCTAATTTCTTTGCTTATTACCCCTCTAATGCCGTATTATTATAATACTTCTGTGGATATCATCTAAGGAGAGGTATAATCTCCTCAAATAAGTAACATCATTGTAGGCGGGTGTGGTTATCTTGGATAGGTAATGTTTCACCCTTCAAGATATCTCACATCTTATCTTTAGGATGTTTATAATGCAAAATTGTTTTTGGTGATGATTTATAAGCATGAAGTTAATCACTATGGAATGGTTTTTGTCTACTATATAATTTTCATATAGTTGTAGCAAATCTTTGGTACATACAATGGTGATTGTTCTATGTTTTCAATGCATATTAATAGATGTTGAAAACCAATTTAATTGTGGATTTTTTGCAAAAGAAATAATCCACCAAATTGGTATACATAGCATATCTTTTCTCAAAGTATGGATGTTTGACAAAATATTTTCAGATTATATATGTTGCCTCCAATATATCCTCAATTTCATTGTCCAAATTGATATTATATATGTCTTCATAATTGAGCTTATGCTTTGTAGCTAATGCTGCAAGTTCATATTTATATGCTAATCACATTGATTGGTAGCCACAAGCATCAAGTAAGACAAAAATTATGGTAAAATATATTATTTTGGATACATAATTGGTCATTGCAATTGATATTGCATATAGGCGATACATGAGGCAAATTTGGACCTTGGTAATACCATGAACATACTTATTTATTTCAATAATTACTTAGATAATATGAATAGGTAGAATTAGGTAAAAATAGATTAATTTAATAATATCTTGTAAAAAAGCTTTGTAGATGTGTTTATGCTTTTATATGTGTCTATAGGTGATTGATAGATTATATTTTTGGCCAACAAGTGTCACGGCCATAATCATATAAGCTAATAATTACATATAGAAATAGGTAGAAGTAAGTAAAAGTAGATAAAAGTAAGTTAATTGTATAATATTTAATATAGAAGCTTCCTAGAAACTTCCTAGACGCTGCTTTGACTTCATAGGTGTCTTTAATTGACTTTTTGGATTAGAAACGTGGTCAACAAGTTGGCCATGTGCCACACATGTTGTTAGCTTGAAGATCAAGCTAACTATGTGGCCCACACGTAGGAAAACTTGCCTTGTAAGTCAAGGCCTGTGTCCTACAAAGTCAACACATATTGGAGGTCCTATAGAACATCGCCACGTAGCCCCTAGTTAGATAGTATATATAGAGACAAGAGTGAAGGCTTCTTCACTCTTGTCAACTCCTTTCTTGCTTCTAGTCTAGTTTCAAGGGTCTCTAGTTTTCTTGTATTTTGGCAATAGCCATTCCAGTTTCTTTCTTAATATACATATTTCTATTTTGTCCTATTTCTTTTTTGAGAAAAGTCTCACTTACTCTTTAGCTTTCATCGAGTTCTTGTCCTTGACAGATTGACAAGAGTACACTTACAATATCAGAGCTTTGTCTTTTCTTGATTAAGAGTGGATTACCCCTTTTTCTTGATAAGACATAAGCGCATTAGAAGTTGCGGATTACCCTCTTTTAAACTGATATTGTTCTTAGTATTTTCTTTGTTATCAATTCCTCTCTTCTATTTGTTTTGATCGTTATTAGACATCTTCTCTTTTCTAAGTGCTACTATGGCAGAGCTTGTTGAAATGAAGAGTACAATGGCACAGATGCAAGAACAATTGAGGGAGTTAATGCTTGCGATGCATCAACTCAATTTACCACCACAAGGAGCAACAAGAATGGTAGGAAGTGAAGATATAGAGATGATTGGGGCTGCTTCAACATCTGCACCAAACCATGTCCCTTCTCCCAGAATGGAACACCCTTCGAGTGTTAGAGAACCGAGAGTTGCCTTGCCCGAGAAGTTTGATGGTACCAGATCCAAGTTTCGAGGATTCATCAATCAGGTCCAACTAGTGATTGAACTTCAACCCCAGAGCTACCCAACTCCAGGGTCACAAGTTAGATTCATTGGTACACTTCTTTCAGGTTCAGCATTGTCATGGTTTTCATCTTTTCTTGAACGACGAGATCCAATATTGGATAATCTGGAGGCTTTTTTGGCGGAGTTTCGATCCATGTTTGGAGAACATGATGCAATTCGTGTTGCAACCAACAAGATCCGTATTTTGCGACAAGGCAATCGATCAGTAACATTATATGCTTCGCAATTTCGACAACTTGTAACTGATATCAAGTGGGATGATGCCGCACTTGTGAGCCAATTTCTCTACGGATTACAATATGAGGTAAAGAAATTGATGCTTAATTTACCTGATCCTCAAACATTGAGTCAAGCAATTGACTTTGCTGTGAAGTGCGACAATCGACTTTTTGAATTTCGATCCGAGAGTCGCACAAGTAGGCCTCAACGTTACTACAATTCAATGGCAACACCGACGTCTCCTCAACACATACCTTCAGAAGTAGAGAATATGCAAATTGATGCGGTACGTTTCAAACCTCTTACTGAGCAAGAAAAGTCTCGTCGTCGACAAGAAGGATTGTGCTTATATTGTGGAGAACCTAAGCACACTGCTCAACATTGTCCAAAGAAGCGACGTAACTACAAAATGAGGAGTACGGCTGTCAAAGAAGACAGTATGTCGGAAAACGAGTACGTCCAGCTACAATAGGGACCGTGCGGCTGGAATCTTATACAACTTCTAATGAAGGTCCTATCCTCTCCTCAGAACCATCTCCTTGTTTTATAATAGATGTTCGTTTAGGACCTAATAATTACAAAGCCTCTGCCTTGATAGATTCAGGAGCCTCAGCTTGTTTTTTAGATGAAGAATTTGCTAGATGTCATAGAATATCATTAATACAAAAAACTAAACCTGTACACGTAGAAGTCATAGATGGTCGTCCGTTGTCTTCTGGAGATGTAACTCACGAAACACTTCCTGTAGATGTAGTAATAAATGGTCATAGTAGTTGCGTAATTTTTAATATAATTAGATCTCCCTCTAATCCAATAATTTTAGGCTTATCATGGTTAGAAAAGTATAATCCTCGAATAGATTGGATTTCTCGTAAACTTGATTTTCCTCGGAGCATTAGTAACAGTTCTATTAATCAAGTAAAAAACCATGAGTCTAGTATAGTAAAACCCGCACTTATAGGTGCAAAAGCATTTATACACGCAGCAAAAGAAGGATCAACTTTTGCTATTTATGCTGCACCTATTTCTGAAAGCGTAAAGACTTCAAGTGGCATTCCAAGTCAATATCAAGATTATCAAGACGTTTTTGAGAAAAAGAATGCAGATATTCTTCCTGAGCATCGCCCATACGATTGTTCAATCGATCTCAAGGAAGGAACTCAGCCACCATTTGGACCAATTTACAGTTTATCGCAAGATGAGTTGGCTAAACTCAAGACATATATTGACGAGAATTTAGCGAAGAATTTCATACGCCATTCAAAATCTCCAGCAGGAGCTCCAATTTTATTCGTAAAGAAAAAAGATGGATCTTTACGAATGTGTGTTGACTATCGAGGACTCAACAAGATCACAATCAAGAACAGGTATCCATTACCTTTGATATCAGGACTCCTTGACCAGTTAAATCAAGCTAAGATCTATACAAAAATAGATCTAAGAGGAGCATATAATCTAGTACGGATCAAAGAAGGAGATGAATGGAAGACTGCGTTTCGAACCAGGTACGGACACTTTGAATACAATGTCA